AGGTGCCGTAAGATCGGACTCGACTTCGGTTATGAGTATAGAAGGATCGTAATATTGAAGTAAACTCTTCGGGCATACCATTCAGAGAGAGAGAGAGATAGCATCAGAGTATAGAGCCTTAGACCGAGTCGACATCCGCATTCAGATAGAAGAAGATAAAGATGATGGGACTGCGAAAGGAATGTTAGTGCTCCAGAGTTTGGCGAAGAGTGAATATCTAGTCGATACAGCCTCGACCATGTCTGAAACCAGCCTGGTTTTCACGTGCGGCTAACATTTGACAGGGTATGATGCCAGGGAGAAGTTTAGAGGCAACGTTGATTGAACTAATTCCTCTATGATTTTTAAAAGAGAACCTGTCACCTTTCTTGTGAATCGGTATAATCACCAATATACACCATTCAGTTGGAACCTGTTCCTTCTCCCACACTGAGCCCAAGAGTTTCGGTAACTCCAAAACCAAGGCTGAGCCTCCATCCTTGAAAACCGGAGGGGATAGCCCGTCTGGGACGGAAGTCTTATGTCGTTTGAGACAGCTTATTTCTCTTATAACCTCCATTTCAGATGGCGGATTGATGTCATCTGGCAATATTTGCACAGTTGAGCCGGGTATAGGGAGGTCTTGTGCTGACGAGGGCCAGCTGAACTGAGCCTTAAAATGTTCTGCCCATCGGTCTAGAAAGCGTTGCTGGATGTGAATCAGTGTGCCGTCAGACTCCTTAATTACTTCACTTACTCCTTATCAATCGGAAAAGATTGCGATCATTGCCAATAGCCGCAGCCTTCTCTATCTCTGAACACTTTCCTACCCACCATTTCTCGTCGTCATTCCTCAGAATTTTCATGAGCTGGCTTTTAATTGAATCGCGTGCTTTGTCGTATCTTGAATCTGAAGGAATAGCTTTGCGAGCGTCCACCAAGGTAACCGAGGTCGGAGAGGTCCATCGTTTTCCATTTGATCGTGTGCCAGAATTTGCCGGTTTTGATTGATATTTGGATCGCTTCCTTGATTGCCATCCAGTATTCACTGAGTCCTCCGGCTGATGGTTGAGTTGAGAGGCGATCTGATAGTTCTGCTTTGAAGACCGATTTGCTACCATTTCGGACACTGTCGTGCGCGTCCGTTTTCGGTAGTTTTTCTGCTGTTCTTTATCACGGTAGGGGGAGTCCCCCGCGTAGCAGAGCATGGTCTGTGTACCCGGGTGTTGAACAGTAGGAGCGGCGGTCTTCAATGGATCCGCGCCAGCGGTGGCTGATGGCGACGTGGTCGATTTGAGTCTAGTGTTGTGAAGAATTTGGCGGTCTTCATGTAAGTCGGTGTCGTTTCTTGTGTGAGAAGTTAGTGCTTGACAGAAACAGTTCATGGTCAGCGCAAAGTTGGAGTAGGCGTTCTCCTTTGTCATTCCGGTTAGCTGGGATTACATGTGGACCGCCAAGTAGCCTTTCTGATTTACCCAGGGATCTCACTTGAGCATTGAAGTCTCCAGCAACTACCACGATGTCCGTTGACCGAGCACTTTGGACCAATTAAGAGAGGTCCTTGTGGAATTCATCCTTCACTTCTGGCGAACTGCAATTAGTCGGTACATACTTGGATGCGACGAATAAGCATCGACGATTCGATTTGTAGCTGTTGATCCGTACTGAGCCATCCGGACGTACAGTGCAAAGTCTGTGTGTTGACCCTACAGTTTTACTATCTTTGAGTCCCACCAATTAGGCTCCATCACTCTCCATTTGCTTTATCACTTGATTTGTGCACATTGTGAGCTTGGTAGCGAGCAATAAAGTTCGCTTTACTGTATCTCAATGTACGATGATGAGTGACGTTTCAGGCATGATTGGATCTGCAGCTGTGAAAAGCCATCCTGTGTAGCCCGCAGGATCATGGATGCACGCGAGTCATCTCACCACGTCAAGGTGCAGTCTCGTCGTGATGGGCACTTCATTGCACTGAACAATGTCCGAATTCGTTGCCCAAAGTTACCATGAGATTTAGTAGTAGAGCTATTTGGATAAATAAAGCGGACTAGATAATGTGCGAAGAAAGATCATTGACTCTAATCATACTATACACTCAACGTGCAAACATTCTATTTTCGATGTCACCACGTATGATCTTATTGCTCGCCTCTTGTCGGCTATCAAGAAGCTGTAAAGCGTGACATCCTGGTGGGCATTGAATCGGCAATGTGTTGCGAATTCTGCCAACAAAGTTTATCGCGTGGTTTCCAAAGTGAGACCGGATTGAGAACAAAGTCGATAACGAGCGTTGAGAGTTTTGTGACCTGCAGTACCAAGGTGTACAGAGCGGAAGTGCACGATACGACTCACCGGAAATTGTGCCATATTCGAGGTCATATGGGATCTCGTTATACAGCACCAATTAACAAAATAGGGTCTNATTCACGGGAATGACGTTTAAAAGTCAAAATAGTGTCACTACATTACTCCATTCGGTTCTTAGTGGTTTTTCTCTGCTCACAATTTTCTCTTCAGAGCGATTTTGGACTATCACGAATCGAAAATGGCCGATCTCAACAAAATCATACGAGAATTATGGCGGAAAACCTATCGAGGCAACGGTACGTTTTTTTCACCCATTCATCCAATCCTTATCAATGTGGTATTTCAAAGTTAGATCATCCGTTTTCTCTCTCCTCACTATGTGGTTTTGAACCAATCGAGAATTTCAGTCGTATCTGAACTGGCCTAGCGATCACCATGTTGTGTTTGAATTCGACCTCGCCCCTGAATCTCACTGCCACCCATTCTTTTCACTGGAGAACGGCGAAACTGGTCGTGTTTCCAGGGAAATTTTGTCCAGTGATTAACATACTGCTTAGTATGAAATATCTATCTATCTATCTATCTATTTAACACCGGTCTGTAGACAAGCATGGTACCAACGCCACAGCAATAACATTAATATGGGACAGGTGGATAACGTGTATCAGGTTGACAGGGTTGTTGTTGTGACTAAGTCTGTCAGTTGTCGCGACAACTGGGCTCCCGCATACAGTTTGCCGATTACTGATCTATCTGACAATGATCGAATAGCCTGCAATGCGAATATCGGTCCATGGTTATCTCATTTTCAACTCTACCGTATTCGATCCATTTTGATGAAGTTGTGTTTCTGTTGACTAGACTCATATATCGCCATATTCCTGGCGTATAAGTTCTACAAGACTAGTCTCGGAAGTTGCCAGTTACCGTCAACACTAGATTCTGGACACCACGTAGCTTACTGTCCGAAATACAGCATTTTCAACCATATATAAGAAACTAAGAATATTTCGATTTTTAGAAGATCGCCTTGATAGATTCAATTTGCTGCTAGTGTGAATTTCTGCGTGTTCAGAGCAGAGAGAATGTGATCTGAGAAGCGCGTCGATTGTTGCTTCTCTTAATGAAGTCCCAGGTTCGCAAAATTCTTAGTTTGCGGGAATTTTTGACAGTATCCCCGAGTATTTGAAACATAAACAGTGCATTTCAACATGATCTGCAAGCCTCGTTTGCTCTGATTTGAGTGGGACGCTGGTAAACACTGACATCTCAAATTAAATGAGTGACGTGGGTGAAGGAAGGCCATTGTGCGCAACACTCAACTACGTTTTTCCTTTAGTTTACTTTGTAAGTCCGACCTCGTTTGTTTCACGTGAGTCCATCAATCGNNATTTTATCCGTTACATGGAACAACCGTCGTGATCACCTCGTAAATTGTGCACCCGGGGTTTACTTAGAGTCGTGCAACAAAGTGTATCAAATCTATTCAGTTTATGCGCATGAGCTATTTTTCGATTTTGACTTCTAAGTACATGAAATTGAGTATTGCTAATACGATTTTCTCATCAAACTTACAGTTCTTCCGCGGTCCATTATTTCTACCCGAATTAATTTCGGCTCAATCTGCTTTTCCATTGATTCAGATATCGATTATATTGAGATATGTAGTGAAGCCGAGGCGGCCGGTTCAGATGCTGCAGCGAGTAATGCGAGCCGAGCACGACGTACTTACAACTACCGAGTTGTCATGGTGAAGACAATCGGAAGTGGAAATGTCGTGGGTCCTACGGCTGGTGCGCGTTCTAAGCGCGCAGACTTTCACGAAGCTCGATTGGATATGCGCGGTCGTTGTTCCGCCGGGCAAAAAGTCCTGGCCAGTCTGATTATCCGTCTCGCATTGGCTGAGGTATTTTGTCTGCATTGTGGTGTGCTTGCTTTGGACGAGCCGACCACCAATTTGGATAGGGAAAATATCGGTAGTCTGGCGGAGGCCTTGGTCGAGTAAGTCCATCCCTGGTACATTTCCCAGAGTAAAATGTATAACGCGCTTTGTAAACCTTACTATTAAAATGAATTGCTTTCCTTGGGGCGCAAATTTTGAGTAACGAATTCCCCTTTTGTGCTGTAAACGCCGAACTAGATGAGCTACATAGAAGATTCCGATCTTCCGCATGTTGCGTAAAATTCTACCGCTCTTGATGCAATCACACAATTTCAATGCTAGTATATGTCCGAAAAACAATTACGTGAGCCAAGCAACTTAACTACGCGTTCATGAATCGACACTGTAGAGATGTTTGCTTTGTATGACTGATCCATCTAACCGCAACAGCTGTTTCAAAGTCATGGGGGTATCCGCAGGTCACCCACCAGATCAGGAAGCTCAACACGCGCCGACTTGATAGCAGGTTTCAGATTCCGTAATATTTTATTTTCACACACGTCTTAATCCTGACTGTGTTCCAGAAAAATCATGGCCAAATAATCTTTCTGAAAAAAAGGAAAATGTTCCATGATTTGCATAGGGGTGTAAATACTTCCAGGGCACATACGCCGCAGGCGAATTTCTTGAATCCACAGCCAGAGCCTTTGGCTAGCGAAAGCCTGACCCGTATGGCAGCGGAGCGGTATGAAAACCGCAAATCATCAGATCATACGCCCTTTGGACGGAGTCAAAAGTCCAGGATACTCCATAAACCTCTATGCTCAATCGAGTCCGTGATCACTGCCATAACCAGGACTTTGTGTGGTTCAAACGCCTCTTGATAGTTGGTTTCGAATCAGTGTTTTTGGCCAATTACCAGTGGTCCACCAACCCGACTATAGCCCCGAATGTCGGCTCTTCGTCCTCGCACTTTGGTGGGAAAACACCTCTGCCACGAGAAGGCAGTGATCGGGGCTTCCTCGGCAGAGGCTATTTGAGACGCTTGCTTCTATGGGAGCATTTCAGGGAGTGTGAT